ATATATAATAATAATAATAATAATTAAAAAAAAAAGAAGATAATAATCGTTTTATTTCGATTATGTTGTTTTTTATNTTATTTACGCCTCTTTGTGCCCATGCTCTTTTGCCTACATCTACAGTAATACATAAATCCTCCAGTTACACCTGTAAAGTGATGTTAGGTTAGAGTAGGGCTGCTCGATTATGGCAAAAATCATAATCTCGATTATTTGGGTCAATAATTGATATCACGATTATTAAAAACAATTATCCATTTACTTTGAAAACTTCCATTTATTGACTTTAACAGTTGATTACCCTGAAATTTAAGTATAATTCAACTGAAAAACCAATAAAAAAATATATATAATAATAATTTAAAAAAAGATAATAATAATCGTTTTATTTCGATTATGTTGTTTTTTATAATTGTTGCAAGCCAAAATCGTAATTGCGATTTAAAATACGATTAATTGAGCAGCCCTAGGTTAGACTAAAAATAACTTTAAATGTTTTTTGCCCACTGTAAAGCCAAAGAGAAACAAGCTTAGCATTGTAGAGACATTTTCCAAATCGTCACTGACTTTAAACTTCAAGTCCTTCTCCTGGAAAATACCAAGAGATTAAGTTGATTTAGTCTTAATGTAGCAAATGTTGGCAATTCTATAAAAAAAAGTTTGGAGTCCTGCGTTATTAGTGAGGTCTGTCCAGCCTTTGGAAATAAAAAAAACATCCCCTGTGTTGGGTCTCAACATCAATAACAGTGTTGCTAAATCCAACGAAAGGAAAGTTGGGACAGGAACAGTCTCTCACTCATCTTGGTTAGAGATGAAGTGAAGGTGTGGTGAAAGTAAAAAGGCCCAAAATAATTTACAGATTCTCAAACCAACACTTTCTATGTCTTTTAATCAACATACACCTATTTGCATTAATTATAGAGACACATGTCCCCTGAGTATGTAATTGACAGATTTATTTCAGAGAGGGCAGTTGGTGTGTTAGTGTTGAGTCTCAGCTGTTTGGTATTGTGTGTCTTGACGTTGGGTATCTGCTTCCAGGGTCACGACCGCGGGGTCAACTGGGCTGCCTTCCACCCCACCATGCCCCTCATCGTGTCTGGAGCTGACGACAGGCAGGTCAAGATCTGGAGGATGAATGGTAGGAGTCTCAGAAGTCTCTTAAACTTTCATCAACAACCTGCTGCCCAGTGTACGCTATAACTGAAGCTCTGTTGACATTTGATTTATTTACATTTGCCATATCACTCAAATTAAAGCATAAAAGCAAGAGCCTGTTATTAGTTGGGGCCATGAATGTTCTCCTTTAACCCAGTGTACTTGCACCGTACCTTTCAACTTTTTGCATTATTTAATAATTATAATAATTTATTACATTTTTATTTAGAGTGCTTTTCAAGGCACTCAAAGCGCTTTATAATTACATATCACACATATTAGACATGTAATACCCACAGGAGAACATTAAATAGCTTCCTCAGTGTAGCCTTATATTAGTCATTGTTCTGTGGCGATCACGGTCTCATTTACATTCAAACCCAGTGTTTACAAATCTTTTCTCTTGTTTCTCCCCCCATCAGAATCCAAGGCCTGGGAGCTGGATACGTGCCGCGGTCACTACAACAACGTGTCCTGCGCCGTCTTCCACCCGCGCCAGGAGCTCATCCTGTCCAACTCCGAGGACAAGAGCATCCGGGTGTGGGACATGTCCAAGAGGACCGGGGTGCAGACCTTCCGCCGGGACCACGATCGCTTCTGGGTGCTGGGGGCTCACCCCAACCTCAACCTGTTCGCTGCTGGTGGGTGGAGACAACGCTCAGCAGCCGTACACATCTAACTAAGAGTCTGAGTTACTGGTGTGAAATATGAAGCTCATGGTTTGGGTTTGAAATGGCTGACGGTAAAGGGTTCATCCCCTTCAAATACTCTATGCCACGAGAGTGAAGATCACATTCACAGCTGATTTGTCGTGACAGTTGTTTTGTATTAGGATAACATTAAATGAAAAGTGAATTCAAAAAGATGTATATTATAAACTTAAGAAGTTAAAGTAGGAATGGGCAAGGAAAATATAAAATAAAATGTACTTAAAAATATTCAAATATTCAATATCGCATTAATTAAAATAGAATACAAATATTTGTAAAAGTGAAAAGGTGCACATTGTAAGATCTCTGCAGCACGGGGACTTGTTCACTTAGGTGTTCATTCATATTCCTCTAAAACACTGTCTTTGTGCTCTTCAGGTCACGACAGCGGTATGATCGTGTTCAAGCTGGAGCGCGAGCGTCCGGCGTACGCTGTGCACGGCAACATGCTGTACTACGTGAAGGACCGCTTCCTCCGCCAGCTGGACTTCAACAGCAGCAAGGACACTGCTGTCATGCAGCTCCGCAGGTATGCCGTTTGTAGCTTCAGCCTCCACCTCCACCTCATGCCAACTCATTTCAGGCTTTTGGTGACGTACTTTGATTCCGCTGAGTGTAACATGCTGTGTTTAATCCTAGTGGCTCTAAGTTCCCGGTGTTCAGCATGTCCTACAACCCCGCTGAGAACGCTGTCCTGCTCTGCACTGTGAGTATCAAAATGACCTCTGCTTCAGGAGCAAAACACATTTCCAACTAAAGTATCTGCAGATGAATTCCATACCTGATATGTTATGATCCACATAAGTTTTGAGATGAATACATTTCCTTGTTATTATCCTTTCGTCAATTCAGTGAGATTCAACTCTTTCTTGTTGGTGAGGGGAGGGGGAGACGCACCTGGCAGAGATCTGCTCTCTGCTTATTGCACTTTTCCATATTTGTGATGTAATTCTCTTTTTCTCCTGCAGAGGGCGACCAACCTGGAGAACAGCACCTACGACCTCTACTCCATTCCCAAAGAGAGCGACTCTCAGAACCCCGATGGTAAGGAAACAACTGGCTAAAGTTAAACTGTGAATAAGCAGACATTCTTCTTGTAACTTCTTAGAGTGATTATGTATACGGTAGTTAAATGTCTTTCTTGCTTTAATATCTTGGATTTCCCTCACTGTAAGACGTTTAAATATGCTACATAGATAGAAAAGTAACACATGATCTGTCTTCTTCTCAGCACCGGAGGGGAAGAGGTCCTCTGGCCTGACTGCAGTCTGGGTGGCCAGGAACAGATTTGCCGTCCTGGACCGTATGCACTCGGTAAGTCCATTTGCAAAACTATTTTTTAGAAAGAATTGAATGTTGAACACCTAAGGAGTTCACGGTAACAACTGTTGTGAAATCAGCTCTTCTAATAACACGACCTTCTCCTTCCCAGCTGCTGATTAAGAACCTGAAGAATGAGATCGTAAAGAAAGTTCAGGTGCCGAGCTGCGAGGAGATCTTCTACGCCGGCACCGGCTCTCTGCTGCTGCGCGATGCCGACGGCGTCACGCTGTTCGACGTGCAGCAGAAACGCTCTCTGGCCACCGTTAAGATCGCCAAGGTCAAGTACGTGGTGTGGAGCGCTGACACCAGCCACGTGGCTCTGCTGGCGAAACACGGTGCGTAGATAAGATCTGCACGTACAAACACGGAATCACAAAATCACAAAATCCATTATGTTCTCTAAACGTGTTTCGTGCTGCCTGTGCTCAGACTCTAAATCACTGAGACATGAGCCCTGTATGGACGTTACTAGTAAGACTCTGACACTCATTTGATTTCCACTTGACCACTCAACAGCAAACCGAATGCCTCTGCTTCACATTGTGGCTTGATGTATAAGTAATTAACCCAAAGGCGAGGATCCTGTGTTGCTGTTTAGAGTTGGTAAAAGCACCGTCAAGTAGTTTATGAAATTCGTTGGTACAGCTTCTTCAATTTGACGAGAACACTGTTTTTATGGGTTCAAGCACGAACATGTAAACCTAACAACTGTTCTGGTGATTCTTCAAAACCAAAATCAGTCTAAATCTTTCTCGCTCTCTTTCCCCCCCCCTCAGCCATCATGATCTGCAACCGTAAGCTGGAGAGTCTGTGCAACATTCACGAGAACATCCGAGTGAAGAGTGGAGCCTGGGACGAGAGCGGAGTCTTCATCTACACCACCTCCAACCACATCAAATACGCACTCACCTCTGGGTATGTGCTGCTTGGAACGACATAAACCAAAGCATTGTTCATTTTAACAAATGAGTTGACACGGTGTGCCTTCGGGCAGATAAAGTTCCTTCAGCTTTCGCTCAACCTGTGAGTTTAACTTTCATCAGAAGATTTAGATATGTGGAACGCACTGACTGAGATGGCATCGCAGTATTGAAATTAAGGAAAGTGTTCTTTATAGTGCAAAGCAGTGTTTCCGCCAGACCAGGGCCGAGAGGGCGTCCACCCCGAGAGCGGGGGGGGTTGTGACATCACGTTGTGTGTGACATCACGTTGTGTGTCAAGTCATGTTATGTCACGTGACTTGAATTTTGAATTGAGCCGTCCCTTATAGACACTATCTCTTTACGTATTATTGATGGGAATTCCGGCTCTTTTTAGTGATCCGGGTCATTTGGCTCGGCTCACTAAGAAAAGCCGGCTCCTAAACGGCTCTTCATGTTACCACAGTTTACCACGGAGCCTCAGTTTCGCCACTGCGAGGCTCCGGCACTCGCAGTTCACGCGCTCCACTAGCACCCCCTGCCAAGGCTCGCCGGCAGTACACTTTCCGTCACAGCTTTGCTGGCGGCGAAAAGAAGCTGTAGTGGCAATTTCTTATGTTACCTTATATGGTAAAACCAAATGCTTCTAAAAGCATTGTCTAACACTACTGTACCATTTCCTGATATGTGCTGTTTCCTCTGCATACTCTAATGAGGGTTATTATTCTCAAGCGCTTCAAGGCCACAGAGCTGATTTGGCAGACTATGTTGAAACTACTCCTCTTCACACAAAGTTTGAACTTCCATATGCTGATAACCGTTATACTTTCTATAGCTCAAGGACACAGGTGTCTAATAGCGATATGAGACATCCGTGTGAAAGCAGATTTCTGAGGCGTTCTGCCATGCTACACAAAACTCTGTCTGCCCGCCCTATCTTGTATATAAGCTTTGCTATTAATATCCACGACAATGTCTGTCCTTCCACATTCGTCCAATTACTCTCTGATGTCACAAAAAGCAGCCTTAGCGCATACCAAGCTTCCTTTCTGCCGTATCAACTGCACTGCCCCTCGGAGCACAGACAGTCTGGGGAGTGCAGACAGAGGCTGCTCTGGATAAAAATGTATTCAAGACAGGTGTGCCAGACAGAGCTGTAGAGACGGGCTCAAAAATAACTGAAGGTACCGTATATTTCCCTAAGTCTAAGCAACTTGACACAGACAAATTGCACAGACAACACATGCAGAGACTCGCACACTCACACGCAAATGATGTCAGTGTAAAAGTTAGCACTGTTGCAGCTGCTTATTTGTCACTCCTGTGGTTTGCACTCTGTTGCTGTTTCTTCACAGAGATTTCCACTTCAGCTCCCAGGGCTGACTCAGAGAACACACTGTGACTACTGTATGTGGAGTGTGTGTGTGTGTGTGTGTGTGTGTGTGTGTGTGTGTGTGTGTGTGTGTGTGTGTGTGTGTGTGTGTGTGTGTGTGTGTGTGTGTGTGTGTCTTTATATTAATGTGTGCAAGATAATTTAAAACTGTAACTGTATCGCTGTGCACCTATCAATTCAACATGGGTTTTAGAAAAATAAATATACCTGTCTTGCATTTAAATTGCCCTTTAAAGAGGAAAGGTCAACAGAATGTGAGAGATACACTTGGAGTTTACCACTGCTTGCTGTAATATTCCATCGCTGTACTCACTCCAAAATCACGCCCAATTTTAGTTAGCATGGCTGGACACACACACACACACACACACACACACACACACACACACACACACACACACACAGTCTTTTTTTACCCACATTTAGCACAAATAGCAATACAGAAACACCTGTTATTATGCACAAATAGGCTTATGTTAATACACACAAACTCAAACACAAACATGCACAGTCTTGCTCTGCACACATGGATTAGTCAAAATGAGGCAGGGTACCCTTAGGTTTGGAATTTCAATTATCTTCAGACAGACTGAAATCTCATCACACATAGCTATCAGCTGGAGAGGGATCTGAGCCAGAAGGAGAAACAGCACTCAATAATTTTAATAGTGTGTGTGTGGTTGTGCATGCCCATACTTGCAAACAGGTGACATAGCGATGTTCATTTTTTTTGTGTCCTTGGAATGTTGTTTTTACAGCGGTGACCGGTAATTTATCTGTTGCANCTTTATGATGTCATAACGATGTTTTGGCTTGTGTAACCATTAGCCAATCACCAACCAAGGTAACCCCCCCCCACACCTTATCACCTGAATCTCCTCCTAGAGCACCATTGAGTTCTCTTTAACCAGATATCTCTCAGAGGGGCGTGGGGAGGGGCTCCTTATTTTCATCTAAAGTAACAGACAGAGGCCATGTCTTCCAAGTCACTTGCTTCAGCAGCTAGGCAAGAATCCTTCCTGGCATTCGGAAAACGAAGAGTGGAACAGGCTAGCAAGTGTGCAGGTGTGCGTCATATGAGAGGTCCCGCTTACATTTTCCGCCACAGATTTGGGGAAATTGGTCCGTGCGCAAAGCATTCTGTGGATTTTAAGGATGCGAAGTCTACCCATGTGCAGCCTCGAAATTACCCCCAAACCAAGGACGCGGCCTCGGTGGAATTCCAAGTATGCTGGAGATTGGAACAGTCCTTCGGCGGCACTCGATGACGTAGCATCCTTGAAATATTGGCTTGGAAGCCAGTTTCCTCGAGATTGAGAAACGGCCAGAGAATCAGCACTTTTGAAACAGAGGGGATTATGGGTAATGCTGCAATGATCTGTTTGGTGTTTGGAGCCAAACACTTCAGAGACACGTTTTGTATATATCTGAGACCTATAATATATTGATGAAAAACAG